ATATCTGTGGTAATATTATAAGACAAAGAATATTAATACTGTCTTTTTGTGTCGTCATATCTGATACATTCTAAAAGAAAGTGAGCAGTGTTTTCAACTTGACCGCATAAACATAGCGGAGATTGAACAATGTTCTTACTAAATAAATGACTGTTTAAGGAACTGCATTCCATTCGTAGACGAGCATGGTATATTTGACCCTTACGGGTTCCAAAAGTGTAGTGGGTTGGTACTTTTCTACTTAACTGTTTATCAAGGTATGGTTTTATAGCAGAAACAGACGGTTTTGATCCAACATCAGATGGTAGTTTATTCCAATGATCTATAGTAGAGGGTAAAAACGATTGTTTATAAAAAGCAATTTTGCACAATACTGGAGTGACACGTGCACATGTATGGTCTGAGTTCCTTTTATCATATCTATGTCCCTCCGAAACTGTGTGAGGAACAAGATTATACAAATATTGAGGCGTATATTGGTAAAACATTTTATGAAATTGAAGATTTTTTTGCGATTTGGTCTATGATCAAATAATCTCGTCCATCTTGCTTCATTGAACAATTTGTCAATACTTGTTAGTTTTGTTGTGCCATTTACTATCCGAGCAGCTTCAACATTGAGGTTTTCAATTGAGGATACATTGTTTATTGGAAAGTTGTTCATTTGTAGAGGGGGTGGTAAATGGGATTTCGTTTCCTGCTTATTAACATAGTTTCAGTTTCACTGTCAGGACAACACATGAATTTTATTAATATCTTATTCTAATGTAGCATATGCCGTAACGGGATTGTCTACTACTATGTAAAGGGACGTATCATCGGCAAATAGCTTAATTGTGGAACTGATTTCATTAGCAATGTCATTAATATATACAAGAAATAAAAGAGGACCGAGGGTCGAGCCCTGAAGTACCCCAGCTATGATAGATACCCAGTCCGACTTACAATTGTTTAAAATCACCTTTGTTTCCTGTTATTGAGATAATCTTTGAGTTAATATTTGCCTCGTGCGTACAATGTATGTCGTTTTAATGGGCAATACATATATACATAACGATATCAAAAGAATCAATGTCCCCATTTTATTTAAATGAGACATTTTGTATTCATCGATGCTAATTAAATGTAAATGTACTTTAATTTGTGCATGCATGTGTACTGGAGAAAAAAAGACAGATACAAATATTAAGAAAAAATAATTGGCCATGGAATTAGAATTTTTAAAAAAAACCAAGAATGACAGAGCATAGACGAATCAACACTTCGCCGTCGCCATCTTGAATTTTTGCAGAGCGCAAGCGGCCCCGAAAAAAATTCGGTTAAAAACCGGGAAAATTCGGTTAAACAAAATCCCAACAGGCGAAATTTTAATGTAGAAAATAAACACAAAAAGGGAGGCTATATCGACGGTTCCTTATGACAGCCGATATGTTACTCTCTTGGAAACGTGTTTGAAAACACGGATAATCTTAATAAAGATTCTAGAAACGGTATGTACGTGAATAATATGGGCTACAGCACATGTGTGTGTATTTTAGGTTTTTTTACGTGCGTGAATCGAAATATGACAGCACACAGGTGCTGTGATCCATATCAGTATAGCATGTATATATATCATTATATGTGTATTTCAAACATTTGTAACGAATCCCTGTGCATGAATATAAACTTAAAAGATGGCTGAAGTTGACAAATGTTTTATTTCTTCACAATCTCAAACTTGATTGAGTCCCTGTAAATAACATCATATGACCATGATAAACAAATGTGCAAGATAACATAATGCACATCAAAATACAATACAGATTTTGTAGTGTTATATTTTCTTGACATCACTATGATATATGCTATGTAACATAAATTCACAGTATCTTCCATCCTTACATATAACATGCATTTAAAATCTTAAACCACTACAAGGACAATTTACTTATTGAGGGAAAGGGCTTTGTATAAGTTGTTTAACTTAATCCCATTGTTTAATTAAAATAGGCAGTAAAATATGCTTAAATATTTTTAAAAAATCTTGTAATGTACAGGTATATATAATATAAATATGCAGGTATGTATAGTATTTATATAAATTGCAAGC